ACACCCGTGCAACCACACGCACTCGCGTACACAACCGACCCCCCACATACACACTCATACACACAACCTCACACATCCACACGCAGCCACTCACCCACGCAACCTCTGACACACACACACACATCACGCGCACAACCTCACATCCACACACTCACATAAGCAGGCAACCCCCCCCACGCAACCTCACACACACACTCGTACACACCTCACACATGCATACACATGCAACCACCCCCACACAACTTCACACACACGCCGCACCCCTCACACATCCACACACATGCAACCACCCCCACACCCAACCTCATACACCCCCACACGCAACCACACACACACCTCCGACATGCACACACCGACACCCACCCTCACATACGCACACACAACCACACGCGCACATACAACCCCACACAAACGTGCCCACACAACCACACACAACTCCACAGCCTCCCCACACACTCACGCATGTACACTGACACACACACAACCACACGCACACAATGACACATCCCCCCAGCCGCCCCCTCCCCAGCGCCGGGCTCCAGTCCATCACGTGTGCTACCCCATGCATCACAGAAGCAGGCATTTTACCAGAGCCCACAAAATGAAGAGGGCGAATCACGAAAAGCAAAAGAAAAAAAGAGAGCAAAAGCCAAGATCCCCCCTCCCCCTCCTTCCCCCCATTTTTCCCGGGGAGGCTGGGGTGGGGGGGAGTGGTTAACCAAAGCCCTACGTGCTGGTTTTGCAAGTCCCCAATAAACCCAGGCGCGCACACGGTGCATGAGGTGCTGCTCCTTCCACCGCCTCTCATCTCCGCGTTTGCAGGGACCCGGAGCTCTGCTCTTTTTCTCTCCCTCTACTGCAGATATTTTTCCCCCTCTCTCTCCCCGCACACTTCTGTTTATTTGTCTGTGAGGCACAGCTACTTTGTAAACATCTCACACCGAGCCCCAGAGCCTTTTCAAATAGCTGATTGCAGCAAAACGCCTCCAAACCAAATGATGGTGCAAGGGGAAAGGAAACGGGGGGGGGGAGGGATAAAAGGGGGGTATTTAAAGAAAGAAATATAGGTATGCGCACACATGTGCATGCAGATGTGACATCCAAACAGGGGCTGATGGCAGAGGTGACAGAAAGAAAGTCGCGCTTGATAAATGATGGGAAAAGTAAAAGCACACAGACGACTGCAGCAAACCGGTCAACCTTTGCCAGAGTACCAGCTGCAACCCCTCCTCCCCCCCCCAGCCAAAAATAAAAAAGACCCAAGAAAAGAAAATGAACATCAAAGCTTAAATCTACGACACCTACCTTAGCACTGGAATAGCTGCAGATGCATCAGGGTCCTTTTTTTGTTGTTTTTAACACACAGCCAAATCCTGCCAGGAGATCATACCAGGTTCCTCTCTCCGTTTTTGGAATCCAAGGCGATTTTCTGGTCCAAAGGAATGCATCGACCCCCAAAAAAGCAAAAGAAAAACACACAGCAGACGCCGGCTTGGGAGGAAACTGGCGCTTTCGGTGGTAAACGACCTACATTCAGGAAGAAAATTCATTACAAGCAGTGCAAAAGGGAGAGTTGAGTCTGTGAGTAAGAGCTCTGATTGCCTATGCAGAGAGGCAGAGACAGGGAGAGAGACTGATCTGCAAGAAAAAGAGAGATTGAAGAGGGAGAGAGGTCCAGGCTGTACCAGTCTCTCTCCTCCTGCGATTGGACCAAACTGAATGAAATTTACAAAGCCGGCAGCCAATAGATCTCTGCAGTCTGCCCCATCACTACAGAAACCATATCTACATCTACAACCTAATGCAAAGAGCATCTAATCCTAGTGCAAACCAGCTGGAACGGAATTATCAAGGGTGTCTGGATGGTTGAACAGGTGTACATTTTACACATGTAGGAAGAAACGTGTGGAGGAAAAGCACGCCGACAGGATGGGTGCTGCTCAGCTTCAGCACCTTCCAGCCCAAATCCCAGCCGCGTTAACTCCTCGAGTCATGGCTTCATGATCAAAGTTGCAGCAATGAACATCTGCCTGTTGTTAACAAACTTACCCATATTAATTTATAATGATTGCCACTAATGGCATAATTGCATAACAATCACTTGCTGCTTTTGTTTCTATTCCCCCACCTCCTCCACTTCGGAGATAATATAGCACAGCAGAGACTTGTTCAATGCACAACCATTTAGACACTATTTTTTTTCTCGTAAGGAGGCTGATTGCTCAGCATGTAGATTTGTTTGGGTGATCAGAAATATCATTTTGAAGGTCAAATGCAAGGGCTAGATAACTACCTGTGTGTTTAGTGCTGATGATTATCATAGAGAAGCTCTGTTCACTTCCTGTGGCTAGTTTCTCCCTTCTCACGCCATCAAAGGCCATGGGGTGGTGCAGAGAGTGTGCACTCCGACCTGGAATCGGTGAACTATGCTCCACTCTGCAGCGACTCCCTCTGGTCCGTTTAAACAGGGCACTGAAGATTGCCCCCGACGGGCCTTGACTTGAAACTAAATCAATGCTGGGAAGATCTAAACTGTTCTCTGAAACAAGCAAACCACAGCAGGTAAAAAGGTATCTAGAAAGTCTTTCAAGGTTTGTAATAAAAGTTACACTCCTGGAAGAGATTTTAAAACACAATTGAACTTTAGCAACTGGATATGTCTGACAATTTAAGCCACCAGACAAATCATCAGTTACCTGCTTGGTCTCTAGTTTGAAATTCTCTATTTCTCCTGCCACAGCTAATTATGTCGGACTCTTGAACCTGAGCAGGGCTCACTCTGCTTCTTCAGAGCTGGAGTTTGGCTGAGATAGTAGGTTTAACACTTCTACTCTTGTATTCTTTAAAGTAGTGAAGGGATGAACAGAATGTTGCTTGAAGTCCAGATCCCATAGACAACAAGAGGCCAAATTAGGTGTCTACACACACAATTTTGCAGCAACAAGTTACCCAGGAATATTTTATCTTTAACTTAATTTAATTGTAACTATACTTATTTGAATAAAACATTTTTAAAGACTTTGGTAAACATGTGCATAGTTCACATTGAACTTTTCTAAGCCCAGAAATGCTGCTATTTCCTTGGAAATGATTATAACTGATTTATTACATATTTTGATTTGCTTATTTTAAGTCATTCTTGTGACAGGTGTTTGTGCAAGTACGTTTTGTTGTTTTTGTAATTTAATAAAGCATTCAGGAATACACAACCAATCATATTTCTTGACTGAATGAACATTTTGACACATTTTTGAAAATATGTCATCTTATTTTGCCATCTGCCCCAAATTTTGGAGGACAGTTTTATTTTGAAGGGTATGTCATGCATTTTACAGGATAAATTTGGAGAACATTAAAAAGTGCAGTAGTTAATTTGACTAATGATCTCACACCTGTGACAGAACACCACAAAACTATTTCCTGCAGGTTACCTCAGGTCTAATGTCTAACAGTGCCAACTCTGCCCTATGGATGCTCAGGAGCATACTGTTAAACTTTCCATAGACTACATTTATATAAATTTCCCATTTCATCCACTATCTAATATAGTAACTACTTTATATCAGATGTCACCACTACATAAAATCCTAATTCAGAAATTAAACAAACTTCCCCTCCATTCCACATGGGAACTTAAATTGCAAGCAGGCATTTAACTAGGCAGAATAGCTACCTAACAAAGAAAAATTATCCAGAACAGTTAACTTTTCTCCTCTATCACTTCCTCAAAAAAGGGAAATGGATCCTTTATGATTAAAAATGGTGGGTTAGAACATAACATTAGAATATCATCACTAGAAGTAAATAACTAGCATCTGGGGGCATTCACCCTAAAGAAGTCCTGAAGAAGCTCAGGTCAGAAATCGTG